TTTTTTTTTAAATCATGTTAATAAGTGTGCTCTTTGTGTTTTTCATAGTACAAACAAGTGGAGCAGTACATGTCCTTCCACAAGCTTCCTGCTGACATGCGTCAGAGGATCCACGACTACTACGAACACCGGTATCAGGGCAAGATGTTTGACGAGGAGAGCATACTGGAGGAACTGAATGAACCGCTGAGAGAGGTCAGCCATCAACAGATGATTTTTAAATAACATACATTATGCAAACAGTGTGTAAATGCTTAAAGACAACATAAAGTTGTTATTTGCTCTCTTAATCATTTACTGTCCGTTTAATATAACCCTCAAGTAAAGTCTGGTGTTTAAAAAAACCAGATGATTTTTGACAAATACATTTTTTATTCTTATATAAGCTTACAGCTACATTATTCTGACCTGTAGGCTATTTGTTTAGCATTTCTTTAATTCTTCTAAATAAGAAAATGTTAACAAAATTATTCATTGTCATTATTTTATTTTGCAAACATTTTATTGTCGTCAGCAGCACATGTATAAATGCATGACATGAGCAACCTTGTTCTTAATGGTGAACAGTTAATTATGTAATCTAATATGGCTGTGTTACTTTGACAATGTTAATAGTCATGTAATCTGATAAGTAATGGCTTGAAGAGGACGGGGGACCTCATTAAAAGAGCATTAAGAGCATTAAGCTGTTAGCCCCCCTGCTTTTATCATGACTGAAATTTGTTTTTGAAGGCATTGCATTAGCAAAAAGAAAAAAATGTAAAAGGTGAACTTTTTTTTTTCTTTCCTGCAGGAGATCATCAACTTTAACTGTCGCAAACTGGTCGCCTCCATGCCCCTGTTCGCCAACGCTGATCCCAACTTCGTCACCTCCATGCTGACCAAACTACGCTTTGAGGTCTTCCAGCCGGGTGACTACATCATCAGAGAGGGGACCATCGGCAAGAAGATGTACTTCATCCAGCACGGCGTTGTCAGCGTCCTGACCAAGAACAGCAAAGACACCAAGTTGTCCGATGGCTCTTATTTTGGAGGTGAAGTCGGCTGCGCTGCATGCTAATATGTTCTGTAGTGGACAGTGGGTCAGTTTGAATGCATGTGAAGGAGTGGTGATTGTATGATTTGTTTTGATTTATTTGGCTCAGGCACTCGGCAGATTATCTTCCCCGACTATTACAGCTGGGAAAAATCGTCCACATCATCTCCTTAAAAGCGCTGGGAACTAAAAGGGGCAGAGCTTTGTGATCTTTGATTCCATCTGTGGGGTTTTCCCCTTTTTGTTACACCATATTTAAAGCTGACATCCAGAATTTTTCCTCTCGGTTATGTTTTCTCAACCTGCTGTTGTCTGTTCCATCTGTGCGCCAAAGTGAAATGTCATCATTAAATGTCAACTACGAAGCATAAAACTCTTAATTCTGTTCAGATTTGTTTCGGCAGAAGTATTAAATGAGGAAAGGGGAAAAAAAAGCAGCTAAATTAAACCTTTCATAGTCATGCATTTATTTGGAGTAAAACAGTCAGGGCAAAAAAAAATTGGCTTCAAGTTATTCCCCTACATCTAAAAACACGAAGAAATGTTAAAATAATACACTAGGACAGAAAACATCTAAAACCAACACAAGATAAAAAGAAATCCCATGATGTGAAGTGTAATAAATTCAAGAAAGTGACAGAATAGGGCGGAGAGAGATGGAGAGAGACAGAGTATGTGTGTGTGTGTATTTGTGTGTCTATATCCTCAATATGTCTGTCCTGAAAAATATGCCTCGTTTTTTTCCCTCCTGTTTTCTTTTAATGGCGCATTATTTTATTTTTCTGATCTGGCACGACAGATGAGGTCAGAACAAACTGTAAGCTGCAGAAATTGCATTAAGTGCTCCATCTGTGGAGTTCAGAGACATCAGCCTTTTTCATGCTTTATCATCTCTTACTAATAATACTATTTTGGACTTTTCTTTTGTGAATGGATCTAAGAAGATAGGAATTCTGTTGCAGCTTGTCACACAACCTCTGAAAGGAGGAGGAGGGTGGGTGGTGGTGGTGGGACTCATTATATAACACTTCATAGTAATGCGTTGTTTTTAATCCTTGCTGTTAATGCCTGTCTTGCACTCTGCAGGAAGTCTTTTAAAGAGGTGAAACAAATAATTGAAGTTTTTTTTTCTCATCTCTTTCCCTGCAGAGATCTGCCTGCTGACCCGAGGCAGGAGGACTGCCAGCGTGCGGGCAGATAACTACTGTCGACTGTACTCTCTGTCTGTAGACCACTTCAACGAGGTGCTGGAGGAGTATCCCATGATGAGGAGGGCGTTTGAGACTGTGGCGCTCGACCGCCTGGATCGCATAGGTTAGTCCTTAAAGATAAGATAAAACCTATTTCCTGGCACCAATTTTATATTATTATCAATCATTCATTTGTTAATTTTAGTGTTGCACTAAAATTAACATCAGTTGGACTTTATATCTGTTATTAGTGGTGGCGTGCATGTAGGCACGTATTTAAGCACAGCGGCTAACAAAAGCCAAGAATAGAAAACAGTGTATAATAATAATATTGAAATGTAAGAGTGCCACATTAATCCATGGTCTTTAGACTTTACTAATTAATCTTATATTATTGGAAAACAGTTTAAAGTCACTTTCCTGGGTACACCTTGCTAAGGTCGGTTTGGACCCCCTTGTCCTTTGGAAGTCTTAATTCTTTGTAGCACAGATTCAACAACGTGCTGGAAACATTCCTCAGAGGTTTTGGTCCATGTTAACGTCACAGCATCACACAATTGCTGCTGATTTATAAGCTGCACATCCATGATGCGAGTCTCTGGTTCCACCATGTCACAAAGGTGCTCTGTACTAAAGAGCCCGAAGTGTGCCAAGAAAATATCCCACTTACCGGCATCCGGAACTGATCATACAATGCAGGATGGAGCCAGGCTTTCATGCTGTTTACACCTACCATTCCAGTGTCATAGCAGAAATTGACAGTCATCTGACCAGACAACTTTTCTCCAGTCTTCCATTGTCCAATTTTGGTGTGAACTGTAACCTCAGCTTCCTGTTTTTAATTAACAAAGACCTAAGCCATCTGCTTCAAGGTCCAAAGTGTTATGCATTCAGAGATGCTCTTTGGTTGTGACACATGGTTATTATCAGCTTGAAGCAGTCTGGCTATTCTCCTCTGACCTCTGACATCAACAAGAACTCCTTCTCACTGGACAATTATTCTTTTTCGTCCCATTTTCTATAAACCCTAGAGATGGTTGTGTGGGAAAATCCCAGTAGATCAGCAGTTTCTGAAACACTGAGACCGGCTTAGGCAACAACAACCATGCAAGATTAAAAGTCAGCTTTCTTCCCCCATTTTGATGCTCAGTTTGAACTTCAGCAGGCCGTCTTTACAAGGCCTTTGTGCCTAAATGCACTGAGTTGCAGCCATGTGATTGGTTAATTAGATATTCGCATTTTTAAGCAGCTATTCGGGTATACCCAGTAAAGTGACCAGTGAATTATACTATAAGCAAGTATTTACTAAGTAAACTAAACTCAAACAGAGTATTTTTTGTGCAGTCCGCAGTTGGATTTGGAACCTAAAAGAGACAGTTAGGTCTAAAGGGTGGCATTTTTCTAACTTTTTGATTGCTTCCAGTCTAATCTGGACACATAATATACCCACATAGCAAGATTGGTATGGCCCGGATCTGGCCCACAAAATGTGCTTACACATGGCCCACATACTGCAAAGCATGACGGCCCTTTGGTGGCCCAGATATGGTTTGCGAGATGTGGCCCATACATGGGCCAGCACAAGGCCAGTTGCAGACACACTGCTGGCCCACAACAGTTTCAACCCTGGCCCCAGATGTCAGCCCAATGTGTACCTTAATCAAGCCATGTAATTACAACATGTTCTATATAAGAATCAGTGAATGGACTGATTCTTATATAGCGCTTTGCTACTCTCCCAGATTACTCAAAGTGCTCTATACAACATGCCATATTCACCCAATCACACACTTCCGCTAAACTGAGTGCTTCCTAACTACAGCCACACACATTCTCACTCTTGCCATGCAGATTGGAAAAACCAGGGATCGAACCACTAACCTTCCGATCAGTGGGTGACCTGCTCTTCCTCCTGAGCTACAGCCACCCACTGGAAAAAAACGAGTAAACCGACACTAGGTTTTGGATAAAGTGTACACTCACAAACCTGTCAAACCTGCATTTGAAACGTTGGCTACCATAGCAGTATAGTATTGCAACATGGCATTTGGTACATAAACAGTGCCATCATTGCCAGACCTGCCCCACATCTGGTTGACATACACCCTGCCATGACACCTTGATGCCAGATCCAGGCTAGACCTGTTTTCTATGGGCCTGGGCCACATAAACCAAACCACAATCGGGCCAGATATGGGATCCCGTCACATAAATAGTGCCATCTATGCCAGGCCTGGCCCAAATCTGGATGACATACATCTTATCATGCCAGAAGTCAGCCAGCAGTGCTGGCTTGATACCAGATCTGGGCCAGACCTGTCTGCTAGAAAAGGTAGGTTTAAAGGTACAAGATTAAAGTAGGTCTGGAAACAGTAAGTTCAACTGAAATATGCTGATCTGCGGAAGAATGACAGTAGATTTTCATGCCTAGTACATTTTTTTTGTTTTTCAGGTAGTGAGACCCAATATAGCAGTGATACATATGCTGTATAACATTGCGATATCTTTATATACTGTGTATTTATGCAGTATGTTGGTATGTTAGTTAGAAGAAAATGAAAATCTCTGGATCATTATAGATTAACTTCACATAAGTATATTTCAAAACTTTGCAACTTAGTGACTGACTTTACTCCACTGTTTACTCAGCAATGATGCTCCTCTTCTACATGTGCTACAAACAGTGCTGGGTTATTGTAAACGATGAGACTACATTGTTTAAAGACCCACTGTGACAGAGTGTGAGATTGTAAAGCATATATGACAAAATTTGCACCGTTGAACTTGTGAGCCAATATTGTCAGATAATATTTGTCAAATTGTGAGTGTATTTTTTTGTAGTGTTTTAACAGCAGGCTGCATTTTCTAGAGGTATCATTTGCCTTTTTACTCCCATATACGAGAGGAGTTGTGGGAGCTTTTGTGTGCAGAATAAGAAATACATAATTTAAAAGTGTTTGCATTGCCTGGACGCACTATTGACGAATATATTTTTGAGTTATACAATTATATTTAATTCTTCCTCTTCAGCGTGTGGTGCTGATGTGTTGTCTAAGGATGTCATTTGTGAAAAAAGGGGAGGGCCTAAAAGTGCATCACGGCCTTTTTTCTCTTTTCTTAACAGGGAAGAGGAACTCTGTTCTTCAACACAAAGTTCAGCATCACCAAAGTTCTGGCACACTAAACCTTCATGAGAGTGAGATCATCCAAAGAATAGTGCAACACGACCGCGACATGGCCCAGTGCACTCAGCTGAACCAAACCAGCAATGTGCCGAGTATAAACCGTCCGCCTGCTCCTCCGTCACCCACCCCGGTCATCTGGGCCCCGCTGGTTCAGGCTCCGCTCCAGGCTGCGGCTGCCACCACCCCGCTTGCTATGGCCTTGGCCCACCAGTCCCAGCTTCCTCCAATCCTCTTCCACCATCCTCTGGTGCCACGTCCCGGCTCTGTGAAGGACCCGTCCAGCCATTCAAAGAGAGTACATGTTGGAGCGAGCGCCTCCAGTAGCTGTGGTTCAGGGCCCAATTCTCCCGCTAGCTCTGCCAACCTTAGATCTGAGGTTGAGACTGCCACACTACTATTCCCCAGGACACAGCAACTCTCCAGTGGGCCGTTGTCACCCATACTGACGTCTCAGCCCATCTTCACCAGCAGCCTGCAGCCCCTCGCCCCTCTGCACACACACCAGCCTCTGCTCCATCCTCCCCACTCTGGCATGGCGTCGGTGTTTCCCATCAGCCAGGCCACCGTCTCTTACACCTGCTCTGCTCAGCTCCACTCCCAGCCGTTTCACGGTGCTATGACCACCCCACCACGACCGATAGGTTTACTCCAACAGGGGGCACCAGGGAGGCTAGCAGGGAGATTCCCGGCCCCCTCAGCCACCGCGTTAACCCCTCTTATTTCAAGCTCAGTCGGCCCCATACTGAGCCAATTGCAGCAAACCTCCCATATCACCTCACAGCAGGTGGGGTCCAGCAGTGACAGAGCAAGCAGGAGAACCAGTGGCCTGAACCTCCCACATTTTCCCTTCATCACCAACACCCAGTCCTCCGCTGGATTTAATCAGCCAGTGTCTGCAGTCGGAGCCGGGGCCGCAGCCTCTCTGGCCCAGCACAGCCTGGCAGGACTCCAGTCTGTTTTTCTCCCGCAGGTTCTCCCAGAGCACTCAGCCCTCGCCTCCCTGGCCCAGTATGGCTCTGCAGAGGCCTCGCCTTGCTACACGCCTCCTGTCCACAGTCCCAGCGTCCAGAGCCCCGTGAGGGGAAGGACAGTATACCACAGTGAGCTCCCCAGCACTGCGGACTCTCATAGTCCTCTAACCCTTCAGACCTCATGCCCTGCCAGGGTGGCCTGTACCCTCAGACAGAGGGCAGAGTCCTCGCTGGATCTCTTTTCCCAGGAAATAAAGACTATCTCAGGCTCTCACAGCTCTATACACCAGGAAAGGCCTTTGGCCATAAGCGGCTCCTCTGAGGGTGTAGCAGGGGCGCCCAGCCCCTTCTCCTCACCGATGGCTGTCAGTAAACCCTACACCCCGATCCCGGGTCAAGCCACTCCTGTCAGTCGGACACATTCAGGGCCTGAGCCTCAGCACCAGTCCGTTGGTTTTCACTCTGCTCCCATTAGATCTCCCGCTAAAATGTTAGAGAAGGAACACAAACAGTCGAAACTCCCGTCCAATTTGTGAGATTTAGACACACCCTCCTTTAATGCCTGAGCGAAGGGAAGATCACCTGCACCTGGCATCATTTTAACCACTATGTCAAATTTTGAAGTAGGAGGGTGTGCTATTCTAATCCGATTGGAGCTCAGTGGTTTTGTTTTTAACCAGAGTGAACGGATCGAGTTTGATAATGGACAGTTACAGATATATATTTTTTACAGGATACTGCGTCTTTAAAAATGCTAATAACATCCAAACTGTATTGATGGGTATATGTAACACCTCATGAAAGTATCAATTGTTCCGTGTATTATATTCTAACCGCACTCTGTGATTTGTATTTGTTTAAAACCCCATCGTCCAGGCAATTTGTGTAACCTTTTAGCCACATCCTATTTAGTTGGAACGTCGTCCACAACTGTATCCAGTTATGATCAAAACCAAAAAAAAAATTGCTGTCCTCTGTTCACATCCTTTCCCACTGCTGAGAGCGTCGTGTGAACGCAGGGTTACTGCGTAAGAGATGTGAGGAGAGACAGACTGTGCACCTGAAGGCTTGACGATGGCACGTCTTCCAAGATAGCTTTCCAGCAATATTGCACACCCAAATGGGTCACACAGATCAGATAGTATTTAAAAATAAATCTAAGTAATGAATGTAATGAAAATGTGTGAGTGGGAGGAGCGGGATTCATTTTGAATGTGTTTAAACATGAAGGTGATGACGGATTTCACAATAGATGCCAACTTATTTCAGTCTGGCAATAACTTTGGTACAAAACATCCACCTGAGCCGAGGTTTGTGTGCCATTAGCATAGTATGCAATAATCTGTGTGTTCTTTTGTCTTGTTTTTTTACTGGTATGCAAAGGTACTGTGAATCGAAGCACTGATTTGAGATCAGACTCATTAAAACAAGGGAACTGAATTTAAAAAAGAAAGAAAGAAGCAATTGTCGATAATCAAAACATCCTGAAACCAGCGATGCACTGAGATTGCTCTGAATGTTTCTTGCACCAGTCAAAGGGCTAAAAGCAGTTTCCTGGACTCACGATCAACGAGAACCCCTGATGGGTCATATTGCTGCATATTTACCTCTTTCATTGTACAATATTTGAAAGATTTGACATGTATTGTTGAACAATTGCTGCTTTGTGATGCTATGCTGAATCAATAACGTGTATATCAACTGACTTACTTTTAAAAACCAGACTCTTAAATCCTTCTACTTGTTAATAAGTTTACGTGTTTAGATGATGCGTCTATCTTTGTTGACCTGCAGCCGGTGACAAACTGTGAGCCGGTCGGCAGGTCGGACCATCAGAGGATCCTGTCCAGTGGCTTTAGCTGCCTGGTTGGTGAGCCTGAGGTCTGCAATGACTCTGAGTTCCACAAGAAAGAGATACCATCAGACACTAGCCAGCCTCTGCCAATGGGCTCGATCAATCCTTCATTACTATTCTCCTCCAACCGCCTGCCACAGGCATTTGCTTAGAGGTTATTTTGAGTGCATTCAACTTAAAAGTGTGTGTGTGCGTGTGTGTAGGAGGTGTCATTCATTCATCCATCCATTCATATATTTATTTATCATTTTGCTGCCTTTTAGCCATCGAATCTCATTCTTTTGTCACCTGTATGTTACAGACATTTTATTTAAGCCTCCAAATTCAATGCAATAAAATGACATATGTTTAATTACCCTCACCTCAACCGTTTATTTCCTTCCAGGAGGAGAGTGTGCGAATCTGATAATAAATTATGGCAAAGTTCTAGACTTTAAGCCAGATTAGAAATTGAGAACTGAATGGTGTTGTCTGGTGCCAACAATGAGAATAGCCAGGATTATAATCTGCCAGATACTCAATACAAAGAAATTATCTACCACATTCATGGAGCAATAACTGCTGGGTTAGTGAGTAAACAGAGATTTTAAATGCAGGGCTACTGCAAAGTTTTATTAACAGACCTGATCCTCCATATCCTTAAATAACTTCACTAGATCAGCTGGTTTTGGAAGATTGCTTTATCATATAATGATCTACTTAATTTTTCCTGTCCTTTTATGTAACTCTAAATTTATAAATATTTCTCTTTATATCAACACTTTGCAGTATTCAGGGATTAAAAATCATGAAACACCAGTCATTGGAGATTTCTGGATATCTGATTTCATCAGTTAATGCTTAAAGATTAGCATTAATTTAATCAAAAATCTAAAAAAAAAAAAAGTCTAATAGTTTTGGATATTTAATTCTAGCAGCTTCCTATTCATTCTCACAACTAATACAACCAATCACAATGGCTCTAACCCAGCAGCCCACCACAAGCAGTCCAATCGCATTGATGGCTTTGGGAAGTGTGGAAATGTCAAAGGAGGGCATCAACTTTGAAACTAACAGTAATTTCATGTGTTACAAACACACAATGCGCATATATATATATATGCTTTCCTTTGGATGACTGCTTTCCAGGAAGTGGCCTGTTTACAGTGGGAGGTTTAAATGGAAGTATGTTTTGTTATTGCAGTTCTGTTTAACACAGCTAGTAAATGTTTGCCAAAGTGTGTTTTTTAGTAGTTTATTTTTACTTTATCTGCTTTTTCAGATTTGACAACGTGTTTTCTTATTTGTTATCATTTTGCTGACTCACTGACAGTGATTACAAGAGTCAAAGTTGATCACATAGTTCCTTTTAATGGATGTAAACCCAGTCATACCAGTTCACTTCACAATGATACATTTGCACTAGCCATGAACAAAGGAAAAAAAATGCTTGAAATGAGGCTAAAGTGTGCACTGAGAAGCAATGTTGTTCACTTTGTTCACCAGATGGGTTGCCACTAAAAAGTTTAGTCTCCAGCAGCAGGATTTAGACAGTGAATGAGACATTTATTCATGGAGTCTATAGACATCAACAGAAGAGCTTTCTGAAAGCAGTAACAAAGTTCAATATGGAGGGAAGGTGGGCTGCAGACGAGTAGTAACTGATATTTTTTGATGAAGTTCAAGGCACCAGCACAACCCTCATGGTGTTGGTGTAACCAGACCCTGGGCGCCACCCGGTCACAACAATGGCTATGTCGCCAGTTTTGAAGAATTGGCGGTGCTTGCCTACAAAAAGAGGTTTTTAAAAAGGGAAAAAAGTTAACAAGTAAAAATCTCTTGCTCAGCTTTACTGAACTACCAGAACATCCTCTTAACTCTGACACTCACCAACTTCCATAGCAAAGTTCACACGCAGGTCCACGTCCTCAGCCCAGACGTCGTTGGCAGTCTTGGTGTAGAGCACAGGGTAGATACCACGATACAGGTGAGCCTGGCGGGCGGCCTGACCGCAGCGGGTCAGAGCAATGATGGGGGCACGGGGCCTGTACCTCGACAGCATGTGAGCAGACCTGCAGGTGACAGGCACAAGTCACTGCACTCTGACATAACTTGGAGCAGTTATAAAATAGCTGGCTATTTATTTTAGAAGTTAGGGAACAAAATATTAAGTCGTTTGAAGTTTAAATTAGTGTTATTAGTGCAAGTCTAATATTTATTCTCAATCTGTCTTTTAGTTCAACTCCTGATTAAAATGCTTGGCTTTCTAGCAAATGCTTTATTTAGTTTACCTGCCTGTTGCTAACTAGCTACTGTTTCACACTATGTAGGTAGCATGCTGTGAACACACCTACTGTGGCAGAAAGAGCCCACCAATAAGAGCAGAGCAAAGCAAAAAGGTGTGAGACAACCAACACTGAGCTGAAAGATGCTACACATCTCCACAGAGCTGATCTGAACAGCAAAGTCAGGAGATAATTTAGTTCAGTCATATAAATCACTCTTTAAAAGTATTAAGTATAGCCCACGTTATTTCAAAGGATTATCATTATAAAATCAGCCCAGTTGACTATATGTATGTGCTGAGTGCCACGTGCTGAGAGGATGAACTCCAAAGTGGAGAAGAACGATTAGGGAGTTAAAATTAACTTGTAAAATGTCAGGGTTCAGATCTCAAAAAGGTCACGGGCAGAGCACAGATTGTGATTGCAGTGAAACTTGGCACACTTCAAACGAGCTGGGGGCTTGCGTTCAAGAAGAAGCGGAGGCAGCAGGATAGAAAAATATTATAATGCCCCAGTTTCTTCTCTGAGAGTGGGCGCCGGGAGGATATTATGACTCAGCTTTACAGAGATTTACTGGGTGGAAATGTTCCCGGAGTCTCACCTGCCAGTCTTGGTTAGCACAATGATTGCACTGGCGCAGCACTTGAAAGAAGCCTCGACGGCACCAATAGCGACGGACTCTGTGGGGTCACGGGTCAAATGAGTGATGCGACGCAGCTCCTCGAACACCTGCCTGTGGAACATGGCTGCCTCAGCTTCACGGGCGATCTGAATAAGTGAAAACAGATTACAGTGGCTGTCAGACTGCAGATACACAGCTAGTCTGAGCTGTGGGAGCAAAGACCAAAGTTAGGCTTAGTGCAGAGTTCCTCATACCTGAAAGCAAAGTGAAACGTCAAGCTACACAACAGCCACGGCTGCGACGTCCAGAGACCGTTGCTGTGCACTGCAGACACATGCAAGCTGAGCTGTATCACACCACGCAGAAGACAAGAGGAGATGCTGTTGGTAGCAGATGGAGTGCAGGAGCAGTGATGGGCAAAGAAGGTTGAAGAAATGGGAAACAAGCTGTTAGTAAAACCCAATGTGATGGCAGAGATGTCATGCCACCTTTGACCTCTGACCTTTCCTTAAAGGCCAACAGATTGAGCTGACGGTCGAAGTGATAATAATGCGATGCAGAACAATTTATAACTACGTTTCTTACTGCCATTGTTTTTATTTACAACATATACGCATATAGGGAATCAGATATATGGATTCTAAATATCAGGTTACTTTGACCTTTTTTGGGGGCAATCGTGGCTCAAGAGTTGGGAGTTTGCCTTGTAATCGGAAGATTGCCAGTTCGAGCCCCGGCTTGGACAGTCTCGGTCGTTGTGTCCTTGGGCAAGACACTTCACCCGTTGCCTACTGGTGGTGGTCAGAGAGCCCGGTGGCGCCAGTGTCCGGCAGCCTCGCCTCTGTCAGTGCGCCCCAGGGTGGCTGTGGCTACAATGTAGCTTGTGTGAATGTGTGTGTGAATGGGTGGATGACTGAATGTGTAAAGCGCTTTGGGGTCCTTAGGGACTAGTAAAGCGCTATACAAATACAGGCCATTTTTACCATTTTTTGACCTTGAAGAAGAGGTCAGAGGTCCAAACTTTCATTAGATGGTCTTTATCTTTATAACTATGCTTAAAATTCTAGTGCTTTTGTTTATATTAGTAGCATTTGAGAAATGATGCTGGTACATGGGGTCTAAACTGAGTTTTTCCTTCCCACTCTCCCCAAAGTGGTTGCTCAAAGGGGATCATATGATTGTTGAACTGAATTATACCTGTTCTAAAAAATGTAACGTACATGACATGGCAGACTTGATTATCGTAAGAAGCGCTTATGTTTACGGTCTTTTTTAAATTTCTCTGGATTTGAGCGTGGATAACATTCATGGCCTTGATCGCTATCGTTAAACTTTACTGATATGCCCTCATGGAACCTGTGAACAAAACGATGTTACATATTCTGGGCATAAATTTTCTGGACGCAAGGCACACAGTTCGCGATTAGCAAGACAAGACAATAACGAGTGCAAAAGTGAAACAAGTAGCTTCAGATAAAAGGGAACGCACACAAAGGAGCAAGTCTAATCTGAATCATGTGAACCTTCTGTTGCTGAAAAACTATCTGTTTGGCAGCAAACGCTCAAGATTCACATGTAAGATAAACCACACACTTTAACAAGTTGGGGGAGGGATTTTATACTTATAAGGAAAGCTTCCTCACAGGCTCAAAACACAACAATTTGACTGAGTATGACTGCTGCGGCAGCGGCAAACTTCACAGGAGGAGTTCTCACATCAGACATTCAAAAACCTTCTGGTGTTCTTTTGATATTGGTATTAAAGATGGTTACACTGAGCACATTCACACTGAAGCCATCTTACCAAATGCTGTGTGCGCACTGCCTCCAGAGGGTAGTCTCCCTTGGCCGTCTCACCGCTCAGCATGATACAGTCGTTGCCATCCAGCACAGCATTGGCAACATCATTGGCCTCAGCGCGAGTAGGGCGAGGCTTCTTGGTCATGCTTTCAAGCATCTTAATGTGAACAAAGAGACAGACTGCATCATTTCACGTCTGCAGAAAAGCACTTATTTGGACTCCACTAATCTGTGCTCCCATCACAGACCTGTGTGGCACAGACGATTGGCTTGCCAATCCTGTTGCATTTGCCGGTCATCATTTTCTGGGCGATGAAGACCTTCTCGGTTGGGATTTCAATTCCCAGATCTCCACGGGCCACCATGATGCCATCACTAGCTTCCAGGATCTCATCAAATCTTTTAGAAAAAAAAGGGGGGGATGAAGAAAAAAAGTTCAACCATCAAAAAGACAGACTTGTGCTGTGATCGTTTGCACACTACACCACCCACCTGCGCACACCCTCATGGTTCTCCAGCTTGCTGATGATCTTGATGTCCTTGCCCTTCTCACCCAGCACTTTCCTGACAGCATGAACGTCAGCGGCCTTACGGATGAAAGAGGCGAAGACCATGTCAACACCCTGTTCCACGCCAAACTGCAGGTCCTGAATGTCCTTCTCAGAAACTGCAGGGAGGTCAACAGCAGCTCCGGGCAGGTTGACGCCCTT